CTATTTCCCTGGGCTGACCAATAAATGATACAGGAATCGGTATTTCACATACTGAACTTGTATTAAATGCATTATCTAAGTGTTTTCTAAAACTGTCCCAGACCCCGGGATAAACAACCAGGCAACAGCCACACAACCTTTAGGGAGTTTAGAAGATCTGAGCAGCCGTGGCCAGGAGTGGGAAGGCTGATTTTGCAGTATGAACAACTCAGAATGTATTTACAGAGCGTATGAGAGTGTGGGAGTTGAGAGGCAAACCATTCTGCACTGTGTAAAAGTGGATATAGCTCCCAGGTCTTCAGCTCTAGTGATGTAACAGGAAGCTGTGGGTTGCCTTCCAACGTCAACCTGACAGCCGCTTCAGCTGCGCTCATTGAGCGCCGGAGATCGGCTGTACGAGGTGCTGTGCGCGGTGCTGTGCGCAGAAGCCGGAGAAACACTTGGAGGAGTTTATTCCAGTCCCAAACCCTGCGCTACTGCTGGATTTTAATCTCTGGTAGGACTCGCAGACGCGGAGTGTGAATTGTGCGCGATGCGATGTGTTTCTTCCATGTTTGTGGCCCAGCTGAACTGCAGTAATGTCGATTTGGGAATGCACTGTTTTTTATTGTTGTCTGTTTATCGAGCTAATTTCAGCGGTATCTGCATTCAAAACCCGAAAACCGTGCATTAAAATGTGCTGTTAACATGTTTTAAGACGCGCTTTCCGTTATAACGGTCTGACCGAGTAGGGACATTTCTAACTGGGTCCAATGCAGCACTGTCCTTTTGTCAAGAGCTGGATGTGAAGAATATGGATAGGATAGAAAAATATAGTGAAGCGGCAATCTTTGTGGGTTTTGGACATGATCGGGCCATCCAAGCGCGTCGTGCATGTATTTATATCGCATAGCTATATTTAATACAGATCTCATAAGGCTCTATCCTCAGTACGTAGGGTTTACTGAAGATTGGTCAGATTGATCGAGTGGTGTTGTATAACAGCCATAAACTAATGATCGGTGTGTTAACCTGTGAGTACGCACGGCTGACTCTGACTTTACATGCACAGATTGTTCGATCTACCACCGATTCCAAATAAGCATTTAGGGATGAAATGCACTCAGGCTTTACAGACTGACTGAAATGGAAAGCGACAGAAATCCACCTCCATTCAGCACCGAGGCTTAGCCCGGGTCACCGGCCGCTAAATCATCTGCATGGTTACATAAGCAGCTGATTTAGAAATTTTGGAAGTTTGTGGGATGGACGGTAAAAACGGAAGAGGCGATGAATGATGGCGATGGTTGTGACGAGGGTATCAGGAGGATATGATAACAATGAACAGCTGGCAGAGGAAACTGTGCTGAGGAAAGACAGTAGGGGGGTGACAAAGAGCTCCCTGTTCAAAGCAGGTTACTCACTGCACAGTTACTGGACGTGACTAAACTCTTGCTGTCAACACGTTGTGCTTGTGTTATCCCATCAGGTATGTGAACGACGGGAAAACTGTTCAACCATCAAACTGACTGTGTAAACATTTAGTTAAGAAACACAGGGTTTTATGTGCTGCTTTCATTTGCTGAACAAATCCAAACTAGTTCCAAATTGTTTTACATGCTTAAAATTTTATGTTTTACATGTTTAAATTTCAGCAAGAAATATCTTTACAAACTTTCAATTCTGACTAACAAAGACCAGTAGTAACATTTGGGAAACTGAAACCATTTGGGAAACCTGTGGGGAAGTTGTGGCCCTAAGCGTTTGAGCTTTAAAACCCATTAACCTCCTTAAAAATACTCCTGTAAACTTTGTGTCAGTATGTCAAAGACATCCTTTGGTATTATTTTGAGCTGAACACTAAAAACTAACCCAGACTGTGGGAGAGGTTTGATTGGTAGTTGCCTGGAAACACCAGTAAAACTGTCCCACCACCGTCATCACAGTTTTATTTAGAATGTTGCCAAATATTGATTTGTGCATGAAATCACCTCACACATCAACACAATCAAAAGAAAACAACACAGAAACCTCTCATGTTTATCGACCTCCCTTTGCTTTTAGTAAGAAGTTGACTAAGAAAATGTGTTTAGGGCCATTGTAGCAGATTAGTGTTTACTTGTAACATCTGTCACTAGTATGTCAGCGCGCTGTGAGCAGTTCAACCAAGGAGTGTTGTTCTTATTGGAGTAGGTTTACAGGCCTGACTATTAGCCAAAAGTCTGGAATAGTAAACATTATGTTGGGTTCCAAAAACATGTTTTTTTTTTGCCTAGCTATCTGCTCGATGCGTTTGTGAGGGTCCTAACCTCCATGTTAGGAACCACTGCGATATACAGTACATTTACTGTTCCCTGTACTACATGAATGCCAGTCCACTTTCTGTACTGACACAAAATGTGTTATTGAAAACTACAAGCTGGTGATAAAATAAAGATAAAACCTGATGACAGTGCCCCCACCCATAGGGCAGGAGGGCTCACTGAAGCATTTAGAAGAGTGGTGTTCATCCCTCCAGTAGAGTTCAGAGAATCGATGCCAAGATGCGGTGAAGCTCTTCTGGCACCCAACACTTTAATGAGACACTTTGTTTTTCCTTTCATTTGTCTGTAGTTGTCTCTTGATCACAGGAAACAAAAAACTGCTAAAACTGGGGCCTTACCTCAGCGCCCATGCATGTTGGCTCTAACAGTGCCAAAGCTGCCGCTTGTCAGATCAGACTGTGAAGCCTGTTTGCTCAAAATGAGCTGATTGTGCTGTGCAAGCCATCGCATTCGACCCCCAAACTATTATGCTGAGTGTTACTGCTTGATTCCAGAAAACAATGTGGACGAGTCAAAGGTCTTGGCGGCACAGCTTCCAGAGCCTCTGCTGTCTCCGTGGTACGATGGATGTGTTCCTGAAGCAATAGCATTAACAGTAAAAGGTTGCACCAGGTAAATCTCATTCACATATCATTCTGTGGCACATAAAGGTTGGATTTAGGTTCACTGTTTGCTGTTTTCATTAGAAGCTGATGTCATAGGGTGATGACACTGTATGACAGCTTTGCTATTTGAGACTACTGTTTGTTAAACTGATGCTTTTGAGAGGGATCCATACTCCTACAAATAGCACTGGCAACCCACACTGCTGACTGCCAACACCAGCATGTTCACAGTCAGAAGTGAAATGACAATGCTCATGAAACTTAACCCCTCATAAATCATGAAGGCACACAGGGCGTCTGCACCGTGCGTGTTATTGATTTACCTCCTATGTTCCCAGTCCTGGTGTGCACACTGTAAGACATTCATTTAGTCATATGAACACCAGTTTCATGTTTTTCCAGCATCTTTTACTGTCACCCAAATTCAACCTTTCTTGTGTTTCAGCTGAGATCAAATGAGCAACCCAAGTCATAAAGTCATGTTGATATATACAATATGTGCAGCAGTGGAAATCTGCTGTCCTCAGGTTCTGGATTCAGGTTTGTGAAACCTTTTGAGCTGATTTTTCCCCTCGTTAATTATGGAGGGTAATTTTTTTTTCCTATCCAGTTTTTAATTTCAGCGGACATGGTGCCTGAACATACCATTCGTCGGCTCATGTTTTCAGAAGCAGCATCTGAGGAGCTTTGTCTGGGTGCAGCGGTTAGTGGTGTGAGCTGCTGTGCTTAGCAGATGATAGAGGACAGAGGCTGTGCAGGTTCTAAGGGTATTCCATGTTTGTGTGAGCTAAACAGACCGACACAGGCTTCCTGGTTTACTCTGTGGGAGGGGGCTTCTGGCACACAAAATAGAGGAAATTGTCCCTGGGAAGCTCTGTGCATCTCTATCTGTCTCCCAAAGGTGCAGTGTTGTGTAGTTGTTACTTACAATGGCGTATTGAACCACAGTCATTTTGCTAAGGCACTGTACTGTCCCCTAGCATAAAATTACTGGGGATCTGACCGAACAGTGTTAATGAATAATTTGTTGCAGAGCTTAATGGTTTTGAAGAGCTCCCTTCTCAGCCAGTCTGAGCTGCTTTGCTCTTCCATGCTGCATTTTCTGCTGCTGTGAGCAAATGTCTGCAGCAGACGTTTCTGTATATGTCCAATTAGCCAGCTTACTCTGCTGTGAAAATGTCTATTATTGTTGTCAAATTCAGGCTGTAAACCTTGCCAAAACACTAACTCTTATTATTGTAGTTAATTGGTTTCCTGATAAGTTCAAGTTCTGCACTGCTTCCTTTTAAAATCACAGTGTGTTATTGTCTATATTCTTTAGTCCTTGTTACAGGTCCTGGTGTGACCTGGATGAATGGTCAGTTCTGAATGGTTGCAGACTTATTTTAGTTAAACCAGACACCTCAAGCTGAATATTTTTTGAACACAGTAATTAATAATGAAAATGATCACTGGGTTAATTGATAATTAATATAGTCATTAATTGCAGCCCTGCTGCTATCATTTGTTGGCACTAGGGGCCTTTATCACCAGTTCAGATTTTTATCAAATTCCTAGTATTTCATATTGTTCTACTCATTTTCTTCACAGTAGGTCACACATGTAAGCAGTTAAATTGTTTTGTCACGCACACCCAAGGCGTTCGGAGAACCTGAGCCTGTCAGTAATGACGTGAATTGCTTCCTTGGAGGTCAAGTCTAGGGTCACAGCAAGCAGATGGTCGATTTTCGTTGGTTTCCCAGAGACTGTCTTCAAACAGAGGTGAATTTGACTGAGCTCCAGGATTATTTTTGCTGTCGCAGTACCAGTAGGGAGCCACTCACACCCGTCCTGGAAGGCCCTGTGTTCATTGTTGATACTATGAGACCCCAGTAAATGTTAAAGGGATGTAATGTTGAAATCAGACTGTGACATATGTTTCACATTTACCTCCACTTGCTTTTATTGAAAAGAGGTAATGAAACATTTTATCTGATTGTTTTAGTTTTACTGTTCAGGCAAAACTATAAAGATGTAACTGTTCCGCCATGTTCATTTTGTGTCTATGATCAGTGTCTGTAACAAAGTACGTCACAGATCTTACCTTGGGAATCGAAGAATCTCATTTATGAACACAGAATGCGAACACTATATGGAACTTTTGGAAATGTTCAGACTGATAGAATTGCACTGAACATAAGGAGGATTAGTGGATGGAGTTTGACCAGCTTGCTGAGAGATCCTAAAGGACATTATTTCCAGGTTTAGAATGCGTCCACACAAAGCCAGAAGAACAAAAACAGCTGATATTTGAGCTGAAGCATCAGTGATGCAATCCAGATATCACCAACTATTTCCCTATCTCCAAATAAAAACCTGCTAAGAAAGCTTAAGCTCTTTCGTCAGCTGTCTGCCTGCCAGTGCACTTAAAGCATGTTACAAAGAAAATCCAGTGACCTGTGAAAA